CAACGATCTATACTAAATATCTAGACTATAAAAAAAACCTGCTACAGGTTAAAACAAACTAGACTAGATGTATAAAACAAAATAAGAAGAAAAAAAAAAAAAAAAAAGAAAAGATGAGAAAATGAGGTAGTATATTATACATCTCCTAGTATAGCTCAGATAAAAATTGTATATAGCTACTCTCCTATGTTTTTTGCTATAACTTAAAAAAGGTCTAATCTGCATCTAAAAGAGTTTACTTCAAAATGTGATTCAGATGGCTGTCTATACAGAATTCTTCCAACACGTGTTTCAGCTAACACGTGTTTGTTTACATATATCTGAAAGTAAGTAGGCTAATTCCTAATATAGTTTGTTGATCAGTAGATCTTTTGGAGGGGAGTAGCTGATTTTTCCAATTTGCCTCAAAAAACAACAAAGCCAGTAAACGAGAAAGTCCAAAAGATATGTTTGATAAAATCTTGCTTGTAGAGTATAATGTAATGACTATAAGACTGTATTACTTTGGAGAAATATAATAATAGGGCAAGTATATATTTGTTTTTCATAAACAAACAAAAATACTTGACAAAAACTCCCAGTGGTGCTATTTCTATTCAAAAGTTTCTAGACATATAATATGGACTGCAACCTCAAGACAATATTTTTCAAAAGCTACGAACTGAACATTTTAATTCCACTATATTACTAGAAGGAGTTGTGTATCCTTTTGTTATATTTTCTAAATTTTTTCACAGGTCAGTGTTGCTCTACATAGGTTCAAGTGATTGTTAGGAAGAGTTGTATATCAACATTTAGGAATTGTAGTTCAGTATTTCTTAAATTACTTAGTTACATATATATATTTGCAAGGTAAATCATTATATAAAAGCTGTGGAATTCATTAGGATTCAACTGATATTATTAAAATACTGTACGAAGCCTTCAAGTTTACAAAGCACTACTTTGTGTTTCAAAGTGGGGTAAGTAACATGAGCTTTTTGAAAAAGTACTTTAAAACAATATAAAAAAGTTTTTTTATAAATTGTGTAACAGATCTACAAATGATGTGATGGTTCCCCCTGTTCTGTAATACATAACAATGATGATCATTTCTAAATTGGGGGTTCCTTAAAAGCGGAGTAGATTTTGCGAAAATTTGATAACAAGCGAAAAAAAGAGAAAAACGCAAAAAATACAAACAGCAGTCTGAACCACTTTGGTGCATTAATAAAAAATGTCAGGAGGGAAATTTTACCTATATTAACAACTCTAACCCTAACGTAAAAAACCCTAGCCCTAATGTTAATAAAATAATGATTTTTCACGTAATCTACCCCAAATTGGGCGGTGGGTACCCGGATTTCCAGAGTTTTAAAAATTTTCCTAATCAGAAATTTCAGATTCTTTGATTTCCCACATCAGTATATGGAAATTGTTGTTCACACCTTTTTGAAAACAGCTGTTTTCAAAAAGGTGTAAGCAGGTGAAGAAATGAGAAAATCTGGGAATCATACAGATTAGTGATTATACCCGGGTAACAGTGTTGGAAATCTGATGTTCTCAACGTTCTCGAGAACATAAAAATATTTTTGAGAACATAATTTTTAATATAGTTAATAGTATTTTGAGAACATAAAATTTTTTAAAACTTTATTAATAAGAACATAAATTCAAAATTTTATGTTCTCAAAAAACAAAAAAATTTTTTCAGATTTCCTTCACTGCCGGGTAAAGATTTTTGCTTGAATAACATAGTATTCATCCGGCCAACCCGGGTATTTAATAATACCCGGGTAGTGATTTTCTCAACGGGTACAAACTCTACATACAGATCTCCCATTATATGATGTTTTCACCTGCTTACACATTTTTGAAAATATTGACCGCAATAATTAAAAAATAACGATAATAATAATTTAATCAAATAAATTATATAAGCTACAAACTCTTATTATACGTATTCAGTTTACACATTACGGCGTAGTGGCGGGATTAGGCCTTTATCTAAATACCCCCCTTTATTTATATAAAGTAATATCTTTATCGATACTCTCTAGTGCTAATTCTGTAGTTAATGAGCTAATATGTAAAAATTCAAAAAAAAAATTTGTTATATTTATTAAAAAGACAAAAAAAATACCAAAAGAATTATTTATTAAAACATATCAATTATCGTTATTAGCCAACCATGTGAAATTAACATGAATAAAAGTACCGTAATTCTTTGATCTGCCTATTTTATGAAATCTATTTTACGAATTTATTAGTGTTTCAACTGTATATTTTCTCTCATCAGATATTTTACTTGATTAAACTCTATAGTTTTTTATAGCTGATAGTTATGGCAGTTTGCAAAATTATGCGATTCCGTTTTTTTTTATATGTTACTGCTGTACTGTGTATTATTACTTTGATTGCCTTACTAAGGTATCATAATATACCGATACTGTATCGGTATAATTACCCTAATAATCATAGTACAGTACGTAGTAATCGGCTAATCTAATCGGAGTCGCATAATTTTGCAAACCGCCATAATAAAAAACAAATACCGTAAACTGCCGTATACAAGACCCCCCATCCATACCCCATTTTTTACTAATTAATTTTTTTGGTAAAATGAAAGAGACCCAGGTCGTTTATACGACAGTTTACGGTACTTTTAGGCAATTGCTTTAACCGGTTAATCGTAGTTATTTTCAGTGTTGGCCGGTGACCTAAGTCATATAACTAGTGTACAAAATTCAAATGAACAAGAAATTTTTTATATTGTTCTCAAGAAATAAATATGTTCTCTAAAAATAATACAGTCAGACCTCTATAGTCATATTTAAAATTTTACTAACTTATTTATATTCTAAATAAGTTTTAATTAATTAATAATCGTAGCTACATAGTAAAATCAAAATATTTATACGTAAGTAAATCGATATTAGCATTTTAATTAACATTTTGCTAATTGACTTTTGTACTTTATATTTGTATAAACAAAAATTAAATTTTGTTTATTAAAACGTAAAGTACAAAAGTCAATTAGTAAAAGGTTATTCAAATTACACTAAACTATCATAGTATATGCATTTTGTTTTTCTGAACGATTTACTTATAAATATTTTGACTTTACTATGTAGCTACAATTATCTATTAATTGTAATTAGAGAACATAAATTTTGATCAAATTGTTCTCAAATAGAGAACATTTTTTTGATTACAATGTTCTTAAAAATTTTTTGTGTTCTCTGAGAACAGTGAGAAAAGTATCATAAATTTTCTAACGTGTACATCAATTTTGTGTAACAAAAAACAGAAGGTTAGGTAGGGTTAAGGTTAGAGTTTAGAATAGTTTTATAGACATAGTTCTGTTCTTATTAGACCGCTGGCGGTGAGAAATAGCAATACCCGTTTTTTTACATCGATATTTAAAAGGTCATACATAATTCTTATCAATATTCATTATGACCAAATGACCTATAACATTGACATAGAGCAATGTTCTGAATCGGGCCAAAAAGTGCAATCGATTAATTAGTCAAATTGATTAAAAATCGATTATACTCAACTAATCGATTAATTGATTAACTTATTTGTCAGACTACAAGTTGGGACTTTTTTCTTTAAAAGTTTACGTTGTACCTAATCTTGGGTTGCGAAAAATTTCTTGAGGTATTTTTTGGCATAGTGATTAATTGATTAGTTGGTTAATCGATTAATCGTACGTTTGTAAAAGTCATTCGATTAGTTGCCAACTTGACCAACTAAACGACTAATCGGTTTTCGATTTTTGTAACACTATCATAGAGTTCATATAGGTCATCGGCCAACACTGAATTATCACGATATTTCTAATCATTCCTATTCTGAAATTCTTAATTTGATTTCTGTGTGTACTGAGACACAACATATACATTATTAACTCTTAGACGACCTCCAAATAACATAATAAAATTGTAATCGTGTAATCAGCTTTGCTCATTGTTTTTCTAAAGAGAAATTTTGATCTCTGAAACATCTCTGGTTTCTGGTTATTTATCGCTAAACATAACAATAATATTATCAAAGAAATAAAAAGTTTATTTAAATATTTAACATTCCCCCCATTTTTTTAAGAACTTCATTGCGATAATAAAGATTACATACATAAAGCTAACAAGTAACATTACACCATCTAAAACCAACATCTAAGATACATAACCATATAAATAAAAAATAGCATCGAATAACCTATCTAAATATAAAACATATATTACTAATCTTTTTAGTTCAATCTTTTTAAAGCTCATCATGACCGATAATAGGCTTAGTTGGATCTGTAGAGTCATCTGCATCATCATTTGAAGGTTTGACAGGGGATTCGTCACGCTCCAACTCATTAAATAAATCTTCTTCATCCTTTAGTTCAGGGTTACTTTTTGCTGTGGGATCGGCATCTTCAGCCGGTACAATATTAATTTCAGGTTTTGCATCAGGATCTATACCCAAATTCCTTCTTAAAATTTTTTCAATCATTGTCACGTATCTAATAAAAAAATTTCAGATTATAAATTGTCAAGATAAGAATAATTAACATGAAAATGAATTAATTATACTCGATTATAAATTATAACAACATACTTTATATTATCTTTCAACTCAAATCCAGATCTAATTAAAGTAGATTCATATAAAACTTGGACCATTTCTTTTGTATTTTCATCAGCTTTGCCTTTTTCAACTATATCCAATAATCCAATAATAAGTGGGTGATATGGATTAATTTCTAAAGTTTTCTTTTGTTTTGCATAGAAATCTTTTAGGAATTCATTTTCTTGTTTAAATGGTTGAGCTAAATTAAATTAAATAAAAATATAAATTATCGGATTTTGAGAAACGAATTTAATAATATAAATAAAATCAAAAAGATACAATACACTCCATAAGCTTTTGCATATGTCCGGTCCAACCCCATTCATTTGCGATGACAACACAAGGAGAAGTGGTAAGACGATTAGTTACTTGAACTAATAAATTTAAATATGTACAAACATATATGAATAATAATTATTAAATAATCATGACAAAAAAAATAAAAATAAAAATAAAATAATAAATAAAATAACAAACCTTTTTCAACACTATCAGCAAGTACAAGTTGCATCCATTCAGTCAATTTGATGAACTTGAATTTCAACTCAGATAATGATATAGGACTTGCACCAGGATCTGTGAAATCACCCTTTGCGATATTTTGGAACATTTTACCACCGTGTCCTGGCATATGTTGAACCAACATTTCATCAATAGGTTCAACCATATATAACACTTCATATCCTCTTGCCACAAGACTTTCAGCAAAAGGTGATTTTTCAACTTCTTCTATAGAAGAGCCAGTGATGAAATACATTTTATCTTGATCTTTTTTCATTCTACTAATATAATCATCTATTGTTGTCCAATTTGAGCCTTTATATGAACTAGGGAATTTTAGTAAATGTGCGATCTTCTTTCTATTTTCGTTATCTTCGATAGCTCCAATCTTTAAACTTGTTCCAAACTCTTTAAGGAATTTTGTATATTTGACATCATCTTTTTTTAAATCAGCAATTAACTCCAAAGTTTTTTTAACAATTCTTTTTTTAATCAATTGAAGAGATCTATGATGTTGTAAGGTTTCTCTACTCACATTTAGGGGTATATCGTCTGCATCAATTACGGCTTTTATAAAAGCTAGGTATTTTGGAATGAAATCCAAGAATTCATCAGTGATAAATACACGTTTAACGAAAAGTTTAACGTTACGTGCAAAATCTTGGACTTTTTGAAATAAATTATCAGGAGCTTTAGAAGGAATATATACAATAGCTTTGAAATCAACTTCTCCTTCGGCCTATAATAAGAAATATTTGTAAAATAAAAATAAAAACTTATACGCATGCATTTACATCTAAATCATACCTTAAAATGAGTCCAAGCTAAAGGAGGGGTATTATCCTTTGAAAAAGACATATAAAAATTTTCATACTCTATATCAGTTACATTTTTTGGATCACGCGTCCAAATAGGTTTTTGAGTATTCATAAGTTCCCAGCCGGGTATTTCTATTGTTTTTGTTTCCACATCAGACTTTTTATCATCATCTTTAGCATCTTCAACTTTTGGTTCCTCAGAATCAACTTTGGGTTCATCAGATTCCTTTTTTTCGATCATATCATCTTCAACAGTAATAGTTTCAGTTCTCTTAGTCCATAACCAAATAGGAAAATTAATAAATTCAGAATATTTTAAAATAAGATTACGAATGGAGTTATCCTCTAGAAATGAGACAGCATCATCCTTAAAATGTAATTTAATTTGAGTACCACGCCCTAAAGTATTTCCTCTAGGATCTTTAGCAATAGTAAAATCATTAATAGCTTGAGATTCCCAAATATATTGATCATCATCATTATGTTTTGTAGTAACAACAACTTTATCAGCTACCAAGAAAACTGAATAAAAACCGACACCGAATTGACCAATTAAATTCATATCAGCTTTTTTATCTTCGATAGCACTTAAAAATTCCGAAGTACCAGATTTTGCAATTGTTCCTAAATTTTCTTTAAGTTGTTGACGAGT